TCTCCAGGCGCTCGATGAAGGCCGCCGTCTCAGGGCTGGGGCGAGGGAAGAGAAGGAGAAGGGTGAGGCCTGGAGTCCAGGGACCAGGAGACCTTGAGGCCGCCAGGAAGGGCCAGGGCAGGTGGCAAGGGCGCCACAAAGGCTGTAGAAGCAGGCTCACCCCGGGGCTGTGGCAGGCGGCTGCAGCTGCACCGAGGTGTTGAACAGCTCCAGGTCCACATCTTCCACCTCATGGCCCCGGCAGCCCCCGGGGTGCGTCACCACCGACACGCCTACCACGTTGCCAGCCACGTCCACGTGCAGGGTCAGCTGGTCCGAGAGGTGGGACTCCACCAGGGAGCACTGTCGGGGGAGTGGGGTCAGCAGAGGTGGGGAGCCTGCTGCCTGGGCTCCACCCTAACCTCCCCCTGCCCCCCACCACAGGATCCCCAGAGCATCTTTCAAAACCTTCCCATGGCTCCCTGTCACCCTCAGGCACAAGCTCAAGCTCAACCGCCCCCACCCTGGAGTCCTCACAATGCTGTCCCCACAAAAACACCCGCTACCTGGACCGACCCCTCCAGACCAGGAGGCCTTGGAGGGCAAGGCCAGGTCCGAGTCTCCCAGGCCTCTGCGGGCTCCAGAAACACAGGGGTTCGAATGGTGGAAGCAGGACCAGGGTAGAGGGTAAGGACAAGGGAGAAGGGGGCTTGTCCTCAACACCAACTCACCGCAGGGACAAAGGAGGAGACGTAGCCACCAGCTTCCAGGCCATCCAGGGCCCCAGGTCGCCTCGGGACCCGCACCCGGTACAGGCCATTCAGGGCTGCCACATCCTGGGGACGGGAGAAGAGGGTGCTGGTCAGAAGGCTGGCGCCAGCCCTGGACAGGCTGTGATGCCCACCAGGCCTCCGCGAAGGCCCCTCTCCAGCCCCACCCACCTCACAGCCCACACTCCCCAGGCTGGCCGACCTGAGTCTGCCCAGGACTCTTCCTGCTGGGGTGGCCCGGCTGGTGGGTGAGGCCAGGAGCAGCTGGGACTGCCCCACCTAGGGGAAAAGCCATCACAAGGAGCGCAGAGCCCAGCCCAACGACGGAGTGGGTCCTGAGGACGCCTTCCCTGTGCCTGGATCCAGCCGCACCTGGCATCCACCCCACGCCGGGATGCACCAGTTACACGCACAATAAATTCTGTTTGGGGGCAGCTGTGACAAGAGAATCACGTGGGCACCAAGCAGGAAGGCTGCTCAGGCAGACCTCGCCGCGTGGCCACCAGAATGAAGCCTGCACTCCCAGCCTCCCTCACAGCTACATCTGGCCGATGGGGGGAAGTGGACTGTGCCAGCTTTTGCAAGCTTTCTCTAAATGCTGCTGCTCCTTCTGCCCCTTTCTCCCGCTCTACCCTGCCGCCTGGAGCCCTGGGGCCTCTCTGCATGACACCTACGGAGAACTGAGCCGGGCCCTGAGGCTGTTACAACACAGGGCGACAGAAGTGAGCTCCTGTCCAACCATGGCTGTTTTAAGGATCTCTCTCTCCTCACAAGCAAATCTCGTCTAAGTAGTCATGAAACAGCTCAGCTGAATCTGGAAGAGGAGAGGAGCCGATTGTGTGAAACCTGCGGGGGGAAGAGGGGGTCTGCGGGCAGAGGGAGCAGTGTGGGCAGAGGCCATGAGGCAGGACATTGTGCCTGGCGGCGCCAAGATGAACCGTTCCACCAGGGGCAGTCATCCAGGACAGAGGCTGAGAGTGGCAGGAGGTGCTGGAAGCCCACCTGGGCCTGGAGGGAAGGCTGCGGGGGACCAGCAGGGGGTGGCTGAAGAGACAGCTAGATACCCTCCATCCCCATCCACACCCAGCCCTGAGTGCCCCATCTCACCCGGAGTCGGCCCCGCTCCTCCTCGCTGAGCTGCCGCTGTGACAGGGACAAGGTACCATCCTGCTGGTTCCAAAGCAGCGAGCCCCGCTTCCGGAAGTTGGCACTGTCATCTGTGAGGAGCTCAGGCTCAGAGACGCCCCCTACCACCCCCCCGCCCATCCTTCAACTCAGGCAGGGGCCAGGAGGTCCAACTTCAAATTTTGGCCTGCCTCCACCCGAGTGACCAGGTTCCCTCCCCATCTTGGCCCCCATTTTCCTATCTACAAAGTGGGGACACCTCCACCATGTTCTACCTCACAAGGCAACCCACAGCAGATGCATGAACCCCACAGCTCCCAAATCCTGCCTCTGCCTCACCAGGTGACCCAGGGACAGCCATATAACCTCCCTGAGCCTCACCTTCCCCAACTGCAAAATACGGACGCTGTGGAGTTCAGGAATTCTCAACTACCTGGCTCTGTCAGAAGCAGAGGAGCTGTTCACTGAGCAGATGCCAGGGTCTGCAGAGGGGCACCAGCTTCAGGGTTTGTGCCCTCAGGTTCGGGGCTTCAGACTCGATTACTACACTCTGGGCAGCACTGACGTCCAGCTCTGGGAACCTGGACGCCTGTGTCATGGCAATTTAAGCTTGGCTTTGAAGCTGACTCCTGCTCTGCCACTCACTCACGATGAGACCTTGTGTGGTGCCTACTCTGAATCCATTTCCTCTTCTGGAAAAGGAGGCTGACACGAATACCTACCACTTCACATGGCTGCTGTGAGGACATGTGAGTTAATACTTGCAAAGGGTGCAACCACTAATGCTGGGCACGTGGCAACTGATTGGGAAAGTCGGCTCTGACATTATTATTGCCGTGCTGACCTTTCAAAAACTGAGATTTGTCTTACAGGCAAGGGGACATTTAAAGACAGTGTTTCTCTTTTTTCATGTCCCCCTTTCCCCCAACCTGGGGCAAATCTGTTAGTAAACGGATGTTAGTAAATGTCATATGACGGGAGGCACCCGGACTCCAAGTCTTGACTTCTCAGGGCACCAATGTTAAGAGAGGACGTTGCCTGACTCACCGATCTCAAATGAGTGCTCCAGCAGCAGCCCCACTGTGCCGCAGGCCTCGCCCTCTCGGCCTTCCACCCCAGGCTGCACAGGACACAGAAGGCCCCAGGTGAGAACCATCCAAGCCCTCAGCATGGCAGTCACCCACAAAGCCCAGGACAGACAGACTGGGGTGGGCTGAAGGAGGAGCCTTATCTTCAGGTTAATCACTGCTGCTTGCCTCTATTTCACTAGAAACCACCCATTTCATGAATATTCATAATCTGGACTCCCTCACCCCCAGAAAACCAGACCCTACAAACATGCCTAACCTCATTGCCAAAGCAACTATCCCAAGGTCAATTCCAAGCCTTGCACCACAAATACTCATGAATTAAATGACACCCTCCCTCTCCCAAGGCTTCTTTTTCATGCTAGTATCCAAATGGCCTCCTTATCACCTGACAGCCCAAGAGCCAAGATGCAGCCTGAGTTCAGTCCCTATTAAGCATATTCAAGATTCATGCTTTCCTTTTCTCCAATCTCCAAATCTGCATATTCGTGCATATTCAGGAGGTAAAACTCCTCTCCACCTCCTCAAGAGCCCCCTCCCACTCCTTATTTTCTTTTTCTGAGACAGGGTCTGGGCCAGGAGTTGAGACCAGCCTGGCCATCATAACGAAAACCCTTGTCTCTACCAGACATACAAAATATTAGCCGGTGTGGTCGGCAGGCCACCGTAATTCCCAGCTTACTGGGGAGGTTGAGCAGGAGAATCGCTTTGAACCCAGGCAGGTGGAGAGGTGCAGTGAGCCGAAGACCATGCCCACTGCACTCCATTCCGGAGCACGGTGAGTG